CAAAAACCGATAAACTTCTATTAGAAAATGTAACAGAAAAATTATTTTTCTATGACTTTATTTACTGGACGAATACCATGCCAATTTTTTATATTGCTCAAAGTCGGCTGACAATTACTGCGGGACCGATTAACATCCCTACCTGTATTCCAGTGATGGTAAATGACTGCCGATTTTTCAAATGACCTCAAAATGACCGGTCATTTGAGGTCATTCAAATTTGGGGTCTTTTGGAAACCATCATGAGCAAGTGACTATGGTCGCTGACATCTAACTAATTACGAAAATTTTGCGTAATGCATTTCTAAACGATAAATATATATATATCCTGCGCCATGTCTCAATTCACATAGATTATTAATTATTTGTAAATTTGAAAATTATTCACGTTTTTTTTTGAAAGTAAATATATTATCTTTTGTCTAATATATATATACTTATCGAGTCGCTTCACACTTGATCTTGTATTCCTACATCTTACGAAATTTCGCGCCATTTTTAGCCCGCTATTTTATAATAAAAACGATTGATGAAAAACAAATCCCAGAAGAATGTTAAAACCAAATACTCATTTGCTAATTAAAGTTAGTGTCTAGAATTGAGATTAGAGTTTGGCAAATATTAGCGTTGTAATATCTTGGATCTTTGGGTAACGAAAACTTGTACACATAACGGTAGGATTTAGGGATGCTGATGATGTTAATTAATATATTGTGACTTTGGAATAGTGACAATATATTGGAAAATATTAAAAAAATATATATTACAACTTTAACCGATACATATGCATAGCTTATTTGATAGATTCTTAATCGTACGTACATACGTGCATACATAACAAATAACCTTGTTAATTGTGGCGCAACCAAAAAAATTGTAGTTTTTTCCAGGAATCGCTACGTAAGCTCCGATTCATCAAAAAAAATAGTTGTTTATAATTGAGCATACGTGCAAAATCTTTAGCAATTTTGGTTATCTTTAAGGTGATTCATAGAAACAACCAACTTTCCGCGCATAAAGAAAAAGGCTTTGAATATTATAATTATAATGGCACAATGGTAATGCTTTGTTTAGATAACGTTAAAACTATGGTCGGTATAAAATTCCTTATTTGTAGGACAATGGAGATTTAAATCATTTTGATTTATTATGACTCAGCCGGGCTTAAAATTGCCGCAGCCACTATTTGATTATTATAAACTCGAGAGATAGGGTTTGAAATTTTGATAATCTCCCTTAACATTCATACAGAAAAGAAAAATGGCCAACGTATTGACTCCAGAACAGAAATATGATCTCATATCAAGAAACCTTCAGGAAGTACTGGGTGAGGAAGAAATTTTAAACATTTTAAAGGAAAGAGATTTAAAACTCTATTGGGGCACAGCTCCAACTGGCAAGCCACATATTGGTTATTTTGTTCCAATGTCAAAAATTGCCGACTTCTTATCTGCTGGAGTCGAGGTTTGTTTTCTTTTTAACACTTGAATCAAATAACTACATACAAAATAATATTATATTTTATTATTTAATTTAGGTCACTATTCTTTTAGCTGATATTCATGCGTTTCTTGACAATATGAAAGCACCTTTGGAACTTGTAAATCATCGAACAAAATATTATGAAGTACTTATTAAAACTGTTCTTGAATCAATCGGCGTACCTATCGATAAACTGAAATTTGTTGTTGGCTCCACTTACCAACTTACTAAAGAATACAGTATGGATAATTATAGATTATGTGCTACCGTAACAGAACATGATGCAAAGAAAGCTGGTGCTGAAGTTGTCAAACAAATTGAGTCTCCTCTATTATCAGGATTATTATACCCTGGATTACAAGCATTAGATGAAGAATACTTAAAAGTAGATGCTCAATTTGGTGATGTTGATCAAAGAAAAATTTTTGTATTTGCTGAAAAATATTTACCTCATCTTGGGTATAAAAAACGCGCTCATCTTATGAATCCTATGGTTCCTGGTCTTGCTGGTTCAAAAATGTCTTCTTCCGATCCTGATTCAAAAATTGATCTTCTTGATGATGAAGCTACTGTGACTCGTAAATTGAAAAAAGCTTTTTGTGAGGAAGGTAATATTACCGATAATGGTGTTCTTTCCTTCATAAAATTTGTCTTATTTCCACTCGGTTCGCTTAATGGTCAAACTCCGAAATTCGTAATTAATCGTCCTGAAAAATTTGGTGGTCAAGTTATCTATACTGATTATCAATCATTAGAAAATGATTTTCGTGATAAAAAAATTCATCCTGGTGATTTAAAAAATTCCGCAACGGATTCTATTAACAAATTATTGGATCCTATTAGAAAAAAATGGGCATGTGATCCTGAACTATCGAATTTAACAAGCAAAGCATATCCTGAGCCAGGTAGCAAAATAACAAAAAAGAAAGAATCAAAAAAACATAATCAACCACCTAAAGGTTCTAACACTCCTACAGAGTTGCCCGTGGATATTTCAAGGATAGGTAATTATTTTATATTTTCATTTTACTTTTTTATATAAATTATTATATTAATTATATTAATTTTTCACTTTCTATTAGATGTTCGAGTTGCGAAAATTATAAAAGCGGAGAATCATCCGAAAAACGCCAAATCTTATGTATCGACTGTTGATGTTGGTGACGCATCTGGTAACCCACGAACTGTAGTTTCAGGTCTTGCTAATCATATTCCATTGGAACAACTCCAAGGTCGTTATGTTGTTGCCGTATGTAATCTAAAACCTGCAAGGTTACAAGGTGTTGAATCTCAAGCTATGCTTCTTGCTGCTTCTTCGCCAGATGGCACTCGAATTGAATTATTGGATCCACCTGTGGAATCTGAAATTGGTGAACAAATTGTTTGGAAAGGATATGGTTCTGCAAAAAGAGATAATGAAATATTAAATCCTAAACAAAAAGTATTTGATCAAGTTGCTGAAGGACTTCGAGTAAATGAAGAGGGCGTGGCTTTGTACAAAGATGTTCCTTTTGAGACTAGCAAAGGTGTAGTGACTGTAAAAACCTTGAAGGAAGGTACTATTCGATAGAACGGTCTGGTACAATTGATAAAATATTAGTTATTATTATAAATTTAGTTTCTATTAAAGAATATATTTAAATCTGTTTTAATATATTTAAAATAGATATTTTTATTTGTATAGAAAGCTATATAATTTAAATTGCATTATCAAATGTGATATGAAATTTTTTAAAAAAATAATTTTTTTAAAAAAAGATTGTTAATAATTCAAAAGAATTATTCGTAAAACCATTTTTATATTTAATTAAAAATTTTTATAAAAAAAAAATTATAAAAATAACTAATATTTATTACAGATAATTATTAGAAATAAAAGTATAATTTATAATAAAATTTTGAAAAAAATTTTTTGTTGAAGTTTAAAAAATAGTTTATATATATATATGTATATATATATTTTAAACTTAAGCAATCCTGCTTTTATTTTTCTAGAAGTGCGTATATAGACTATACAAAGTGTTCAAACATAAAGCTTGCAACAACTAAATGCCTTTTACTCTTCTACTTTGAAATAAAGACTTACTCAGCTGCCCAAATAATGCCTAAATGTATTTGCTACAAACATATGTTTTCTTATAATTTGTTAAACCTACACTCATCCAATCACCAAAACTAGTATAGCTAGTACAAGTGCATATCGTGTGTAACTGGGGGCTACAACTGCTAAGAATTACCATAAAAAGAAATGATGACATGCCTGTTACGAACCTCTGAGCCTCATGATGCCATCCAACTATAAAAGGCTCTGGAAGTGCAGGGTAACCTGTTACGAAACATGCCCAGGTAC